TGGATAACAATTGAAATCTGCAGGAAGGTGGCTCTCCAGGAAGAGGGTTGGCCACCCCTGGTTTAGTCCATTTCAGTATAACACTATTTTAAAATGTAATTGACGTTGAATGTTTCATTAATACCAATGTCAAATGTAAACAGTTGTTAATACCAATATCAAATGTAAACCAATGAAAATGTAAACATTTATGAATGGATATTTTTTATATACACGAAAATTTATATTTTTAAATTAGATTTATTTCTGCTTTTATTAATAATCTTTTCTAATTGAACAATGTAGAATCATTTTATCTCAGCCACAAAATAACTTTTTTCCCTTGTTATAACCAAACTCTTTCAGTTTTTGCTATTTTGTTGTTTTATTTTTGATTAAAGTTTTTTTTTTGTATAATTAATAATGCTTCATAGAAACATGCTAGCAACATGCTAATGTATGCTAAAAATATGTTAGAAACAAGTTAGCAACATATTAAAACAAGCTAAAAACATGTTAACATCATGCTAATAGAGCTCTGTTATCAGAATGCTAAAATATGTTAGTAGTGTTATTAATTCGAGAACATTGTTCACAAGCTAAAACAATGCTAGCCACATTTGTTGCTTTTTTGTGCTTGTTAATCGTACAAGAAGCATACTAAATCATGTTCGTGACATGCTAAAAGCAAACCTCCAGGCTGGGCTTTCTCAATCTAATATCACAGTGTGTTAACAAACTTTGCATTTGAATTAAAAGATGTTAGTAACATGTTAGCAACATGCTAAAACAAGCTAACAACATTTTGCTTAATATGTTAACAGTACTGCTATCACTGTCCTAAAATTTGATAGCAAAGTTATTAATGTGAAAATGCTGTTAACATGCTAAAACAATGCTAGCAAAGTTTTATAATAATGTTTTGAAATATTTTCCTAAAACATGTTAAAAACATGCATCAATAGGTTAGCATTGTGCTTAATCACACTAAAAGCATATTAAATCTTAGTTTAAAACATGTTTAACCTTCAGGTTACTCATGCTGACATCAAAGTTTAAGTCTATGAACTTTTCATTTTAATTTAAAGAGGTTTGAAACAAGTTAGCAACGTGCTAAAACAAGCTAACAACATGTTGCTTCATTTGTTATCAGTACTGCTGTCACCGTGCTTAAATATGTTAGTAATGTTATGAAAATATTAACATTCTAAAAACAATGCTAGCAATATTTTATAGGAATGTTTTGAAACACTGTGTTTAAACATGTTAGAAACATGCTTAAAGATGTTAGCATTGTGCTTAACCATACCAACCAAACCATACATGCTAAAAGTAAACCCTCAGGCAAGGCTTTCTCAAGCTAACATCAATGTTTAAGTCTACGAATTTTACGTTTTAGTTTAAAGATGTTTTAAGATAAGTTAGCTTCATGCTAAAACAAGCTAACAAAAGCCTAGCCTAATATGTTAACACTGTTAGCTATCTCTGTGCTAAAATATATTAGTAATTATACAAAAGTATTGTTAACATGCTAAAGGTGTAATAATAAAAGTACTAATCAATACGCAAAATGACAAGTTATTTTACCAATATTTGGACATTTTACTTTGACGAAAGATACTTTAAGCCTTAAAATAGCCACGTAACTTGCATTTAATGCCGTTTTTTGTATATAAAATCCTTTAATTTTTTATTTACTTTGTTATGAGACGTCATTGGCCTACATATAAAAACAATTTCTTTCCTATTTTTACATTTGCTGATCTAAGCTGACCTTCTTTTTATCACTGTTATGATTCCGATCCGCCATTTGACCTTCGCTTTAGCAGTAAATTTCAGTCCCAACGCTCGGGTCCCGATTTGACATGGGCCACTTTTCCCCCTCGTTTCCCTTTTCCCGACTCTGCGGCGCATTACAAGGAAATTGTGTTAATTTCCACTCGAGAGGGAAAAGGTTACGATTCGCAGTGGGCCGCCGACCGCGTGGAGGACGCACACTTGATTATGCAATCTGATTTTGATTTCATTAGGCATGCAATTGATGCGAGGGAACAAAGGGGTAATTTTTCATTCATGGCGGTCTAGCTGAGCCCTGTCTTTTTCTGCAGTCTGTAATTCATACACTTCCCCCTGATCTGAAGACCATTAGCAGCACTGGGGGGGTTTGTGTTCGTGTGTGTGTGGGATTGGAGAGATGAGGAGGGTGAGGATGAGCCAGAGAAAGAAGTGAAGGAGCGCAAATGAATGAACGCATGTGTCCGCAAGTAAAAGAGTCTGTCTCGACGAGGCCCGCTCTAATCTTTCTGCTAAGTATTCACCGGAACCGTTTTAAATATGATCATTCTGCAAGCGCGCGTTCAGTTGTGTCACCGCTGACAGATATATAATATCAGAGAGCTAATGGCCTGCCCATCAGCTTTAATCAATGACATCTGCTCTGGAGGTGTGTGTGTGTGTGTGTGTGTGAGCAAAGAGGTTCATGCAGAGCTGCTTGTGTTC